CAGAATCAGTTCTGCATTCTGAGTGACAAAGTTTAACTGCTGCGTTAATTTTTTTGAGTATTTCGTGTCTAGTATTCGGCAAATTATTGAAACTATCGAATCCGAAGAATTATGGTGTTATGATAATCAGAATTTGTATCCCAGTATTCATGAATTTCGGTTACTATCACTGAGTGACTTGGCAGTCATGGTTAATTCGTTAGATAATAGGAGTAACATCAATGAAATACTAAACTCCAAAATGTTAAAAGAGTTTTTTGTAACTTGTAGTCACATTATCTTAAATTTTATAAATACTTCTCTTAGATCATCAAAAATTCCAGATTTATTAAAAATCAATACAGTTGTTCCAATACCAAAAGTTAATAATACTATTAAGGCGGATAAATTTAGACCTATAAATATACTTTCGACCATTGAGAATTATTAGAGTTGGTAGTATATGATCAAATCATGGATCACGTTGATAAAAATGAAATGTTAATGAATACTCACGTCAGATTTTCGTAAAAAATATTCCTACAAAACTGCACTGCAACTTTCACTTTGTAAATTCAGGTCTGAATTGGACAATGATAATTATGTGGTAGGAGTATTCCTTGATTTAAAAAGAGCTTTTGAAATTATTGATCGTCATGTAGAAGATGTAAAACGCTGTAGAAGCTTTTTTTAATGTTTATGAAAACCAATTGTTTGTTCCCTTTACACATTTTGTTATAATAGACGATAGAGTAGTTTGTCTGCTGTGTGGTAAAACAAAGACCTTAACTATGACTGCCAGAGAGTGGTGGAATGGAGCAGTTAACTTGCTTGTGTTAGTTCACACATTCGCAGTTCAAGTTGATCGTTGTGTGAGGTAGTGTTTTATTTTGAGCTACATTTCATTTTTTATTGTTTTGTTACCATGTCCGAGAAAAGAAAAAGAGTTGTGTTGATAATTAATCAAAGTTAGAACTCATAAGTAAAATTAAAAATCGTGCTTCCCATAAACTTATTTGCCTTCAGTACGATATGGGTGTGTCGACAGTGCGAACGTTTTAAAACAAAAGGACAAACTGTTTCATTTGCATCAATGTCAGAAAGCTCTTCTGTCCCAAAGAAAATAAAAACAATGCAAATCTTGTCTTATGTAGAAATTGAGACAGATTGCTGTAAAAGCAAAACAGTTTTTTTAAGGAGATAGGACTTCATAGAGAGAAGCTCAGCGGTGACCAAAAGGGAACTGAGAAATTTAAAAGTAATTTCGAAGAGTTCCTTTCTTCAAATAGTTTGAGCTATTGCAAGTGAAGGTAAAACAGGGGGCCATGAATCCAGCAAAGAACAGATCACAGTGATGTCTTTCAGCAACACTACAAGAAGTGACAAACTGAAGTTGACAGTAATTGACAAGGCAAAAAAAACTAGATCTTTTAAGGGCACTACAGCAGAAAAACTACCTGTTGATTACTTCAACCAAAGGAAAGCGGGGATGGATAAAAAATATTTCAAGAGTGGTTCAAGTCAAAGTTTGTACCAGATGTAAAAAAAACATTTAAAAGTAAATAATTTGCCACAAAAAGCTGTGTTGTTGATTGACAACACCCTCTCATATCCTGAAACGCATATGCTTAAATTTGCTGATAAAAACATTTGTCAATTTTTTGCCCCAAAATATGACTGCGATCGTTCAATATATGGACCAAGGCGTCATTGGATTTATGAAGAGAAACGACAGGACAAAATTACTTTGCTCAAAAATTGAAGAAGGATAACACTTAAATAAGTTTTGGAAGTCATTCACTATTCTCGACTCTATTTACGAAATCGCATCTGCGTGGGAGACTGTAAAGTCTTCAACAATTGTAAAGTCATGGAGAAAACTGTTATTAAACATCGAACATTGTGTCAAACTAGCAGTTGGAGAAGATGAAAAGTAACTGCCTGTCCTTACAAGTTTAATGAAGTCAGTTCCTGGGGAAGAAAATGTGGATGCAGCAAACCTGCCAGAGTGGTTAGACTGCGACGCTACCGACCCGGGATTTAAACATTTAAAGGATGAAGACATCCTAAGAAAATACCGAGGAGAAAATTATTAGGAAAGTGATGAAAAACAGCTTGAACCTAGTGGACGAGTGAATCATGATGTGGCCTTGTGCCGCGTGAACGACTTGTAGAATAGCTAGAGGACGACGCGCTACTCGCGGAAAAACTGATGCTGTGTAAAGTATAATGTAAAATAAAGAAACACATTTTCCACTCAAAGAAGCAGAAACAAGTGACAGACTACTTTCAAAAGTGTAATAATGTAAATACACATTGAAAATGGTAAATTATTAAAGCTTTAGGTGAAACTACTACTTTTTATTTTTTGCATTTACATATGTATTTGACTTCCAGTTAAGGCTGATCTGTGATTTTCGTAATCTGTGCCAACCGTGCCACTCAACCCCACTGCTAAACGGGAGTTGACTGTATTAGTATTTCATTGGTTATCTTAGCTACCTGTATAATACACCTAATACATAATAATATATCATAAGACACTAATGTCTTAAATATATATTTTTTTTAATTTCTACAGAGCTAAAAACAGCATAGATTAGACAATTTGGAAAAAATTTTACTGAACATAGGATTTTTAATACAATAGCTCAGATCCTCTGATTTGCAATTAAGCAGTGTAAATTTCAATACAATGTTGCGATGTTTTATAATTAATTCATTTGTTCGACTGAAGTCTCAATTCATGCTGCGATGCTGCCAGTGTAAGTGTAAAAACGGAACACAGCTAGAGTGAATGTCAATTCGCACAAAACATATGTATTTATAAATGTAAATATGGAATTAAAAATATTATTTAACTAAAAAAATGGTTAGGTTTTATTGCCAAAACGGCTTGAAAAAAAAGTATATTTCTAAAAATAAAACGGAATTTCAAAAATAAAATAATAATACACTCCTTTTAATTTGAAATTATAAACAATATTTGGAATAATAAATGTATTTAAGTATAAATTTAATAATTCAAATAACCTAACCTAACCTAATGAACACAAACAAAATTGATGTTTAAAACATTATTTATTATCTGCACAAAACCGGACTTTCAGGAGAAATCAGTAGATGGAGCAACACTGTCGGCATGCCACATATGCTACTACAAACAGCAGAGAAGAGGCAATCCAGTGGAACAAATAAATTAGTTATAAAACATCGCGACATTATATAGAAATTTACACTGGTTAATTGCAAATCAAGGAATCTTAGTAATTGCATTAAAAATCCTATGTTCTGTAAATAAAATTCCAAATGTGTATACTGAAGTTAGTGGCAACATTGCAGTGCACTCTATCCTCTATAAAATGAAAGCAAAGTTTATATAGGGATAATCTAATAGCAATTAGATGTATAATTTTTGTATACACCTGAATGCCTTATTAGCTGGTAATTTGAAGGACACTCCATAGATTATTAAATGTACAGATATCATTTTTTTCATCTAAAATATTTTTGGAATATAATTTGACTTTTTTTAATTGTAAGTGTAGGGTATTACAAAAATCAAGTTGAGATCTATTCTCATTAAAAACATATGAGAAGTTTGTTTATAGAACAATAGTTATTATGATGAAAAGGAATATCAAATAGATAATTAATCCTTGTTTTATCAACTGTATTAAAAGGTAATAATTGTAAAAGGTAAATTGATTTCTATAGGTCTCAGGAGCCTGCAGGCTCAGATAATTCATTAACAGTATTTTGCTGTAAAATTAAGTGGTATTTTGGGGGCTATTATACATAGAAAATTTGCAAACTTTGCAATATTTAAATGACCTGGAATGGCTGAAGAACTGTCAAGTGTGTTGAAACAACACAAGGTTTCTTATTTGAGGCACCTTTTACATGGATGGAACATGATATTCCCTGTTTTTTAGTGTTTTACTATTTTGTAAAGTATGTTTGATTTTTGAAGACAGTTAAGGTTTAGCCTATTCTTTATAGCTCACCATGTGTATATGGTATATATACCTACTCTGTATAGTGAAAAGAGATTTTATATTTTACATTTGCTCTATAAGAGATATACTGAGTAATATTACACACACACAAAAGCTTTTAAAACAAGATTACTGTTTGCATTACAATTTAATGCAGTACTGGACAGAATGGTACAAAAAGAATGCCAATATAAAGGTTTTTTGTTTTCTTCTTATTTTGTTTCATGAAAACGATAACCATCCAATCCAGGATAAATCCATTTTACAAGAAAAATAAGTATAAAAAATATGTACAGTTAGCAATTAATAGAAGTAAAGGTAATACTGTTACTTCTGTAATATGAATGAATGCAATAAAATATCAAGAATACATTCTGTACTTAGCCATCTTCCAATCGACATTCAATAAATTGTAATGAAAAGAAACATATTTCAGAGAAACTTTATCAAGTTATATATAAGTATTACATTTATCTATGCCTAACTACTATATAGGTATAATTACTGCTAACTGTTAATGAGGCATATTATTTCACTAATAGTGCTTTAAAGTTACCAACGATATGCATTTAAATGTGAATTTAAAAAATCGGTATTAAATATAATTCATAGTGTTTGTGACACTTTTATTGTGGCAATCAAAAATTCAGTTTTCTTAACAAAAAAGGTGTTATTTAAAAACCAGACATATTGAATATACATTAAAATTAAAATAGTAAACATACTACCACTTTAACAATTAAAGAAACAAGTATATTATCTCTATAAATTTGCAGATAAATTACAATTTACCGCATACCTAATTAGGTATTTTTCGAAGTAGTTCTATCGCAAAATGGGTTTAAATTGGTGAGTCATGCATTCATAACATAACTTTATAGTTTATGGCTCAAAATTAGTTCTAACCTTGACAAATGCCCTAGACTAATAAATATAGGAGAAAACAGTAATGGTCAGGTGAAATAACAGCAAGCTGTTGCGATTATTTTTGTAAGACAATGAACAAATAATTAAAGTACGTACCTATTCTACCACCTACTGCAGTGGAAAAGGGATTGCCAATGAGGGCATTTGATATAAAAGACATTTTTAATTTGTTGTTCAGGGAGCCACCAAAATATTATTGTTTCCGTATTCGATCAACTACTTTGTCAATTAGCAATAAGCCAACTGTCAAGTCAACGTCAATTTGTCAACTTGTCCTCTAAAAGTAAAAGTTGTACAGTATAACCAACGTAGATGTTACCAACATACCAACAAACATTTTTTAGGTTCAATGAATCTACCCCTTCCTGAGTAAGTTTGATATGTTGGAAAAGTGTTGAATAAATTAATTTTAGGATTGGATTTTTAAATAAAAGTTATTTTACAGCCTAAAACGGTTTTATTAACTCTTTAATCAAATTCTATTTTTTTTGTTTGTTCTACGTTTTCAGAAAGAAAACTCAATTATATTTTAACTTTTTAGTAGTAAATTGTAATTATTTTCTAACTATATAGATACTATAAACAAAAGTATAAACAATGGTCAACAAAGTTGGTCAAACTTGTACTTCATTTGAAAATGTCTGGAAGTTACTAAACATATACATACTCTAGGCGCACGTAGCCAATATTAATTGTATCATAAAGTAAATATTATTCTTATGCAGTTTATCAACAAAATAAACCTGCATCAATTAAAACTATTATTATAAATTAATTTTAGTTTTATGAATCAGAAAATATCTTTTGGGGGTAAAATTTTTGACGCATACTGTAACTATAAATCCAAAGCCAGATTTACACGTATCCACTAACTGGCACCAGTCTCACTATGATAGCAAGCCAGTGCTTAACTAAGACAGCACTGGAAAGGCACGTTTACACGAATCCAGTAGCTGGCACTAGTTTCACTAACACGCAAGTTTCACTGCACGCCAGTTTCTATTTGGTGAAGTCAGTCCGTTTGTTGTACTCTTCACAGGTAAAGCACGTTTACACGTATCCACTGGCGCCAATCTCACTGGCACGCCAGTTTCCACTTGGCCTAAGTCAGTCGTTTGTTTTACTCTTTACAGGTACGCCAGCGACCGAAACGATGTGTTTACACGTGTCTAAAACCGCTGGCGCAGGGTTAGAGAGGATGCGGACGAGAGCCATTGGCATGAAAAATAGACCAGCTCTCTATTCAAGGCAACGCTGGTAGAGAGCCCTGGTTTGCCTCGAAAAAGTGTTTAAATAATGCCACTACTATGCCAATGCCTATTACATAAGCAAAGAGGCATAAGAGATTTAAAAAAACTACCGTTCTATCAGTTTGCTTTCACACATATATAAACTTTTCACAAAAATTATAAGAAAAAACGGACGCTAAATTAGACTTCTATCAGCCTAGAGAAAAAGCTGGATTTAGATCGGTATACAGCACTAACGACCACTTACTAGTGATAATGAACCTAATAGGGAAGTCTGCAGAAAACAACAAACCATTGGCACTGATATTTGTCGACTAGGAGAAAGCATTTGATACTACCAGAAAATGTTAAAAACATTGACAGAATGCCGAATAGACCATCGCTACATTAACATAATCAAATATATCTACCAAAATGACACAGCTAGCGTAAGACTATCTGAACAAGAAACAAATAAATTCTGTATACAGCGAGGAGTATGACAAGACGCACTCTCTCCAAAACTATTCACGACGCTTTTAGAACATACTTCTAAGAAGGCACATCTGAACCAGTATAATCAAATGTAGGGGTACTCATTCTAAAATATCTGCAAAATCGTTCTCCATCTTCTCGGATATTCTCGTATAGAGTTACAAACTGTCCACTAGTCTCGTGATCTTTATTGATATTGTGAGTCCAGTATCGCCCTTGTTCTCCTACACATTCGTTATCAAGTGAGGAACTATCTAGTAATATCATCTTCATCAAAGTTGATTACATTGTTTGTAGTCTATGTATATTGTATATTAATTGTTTGTAATCAATGAGACTGATTTATCTTAAACTGGGAGGAAGTATCTCTCACTATAAGGTTAGAAAATCAACTGATAGCGAATCGGTTTCAGTGCGAACGCAAGCAGATTTCGCGCAGCTCGGCGTTACATCGCTTTGCCCGGCCCGGCACGGCTCGACTTTGGTGTGTAACGCGCTTTAGGTGTGTACATTCATTTCTATTGTTTTTTTTATATATTCTATCGATCTAATTAGCCTTCTTCAGTTCATCTTTGGACATAGGCCTCCCCAATCCTTTTCCATTCTTCTCTGTCTGTTGCTACAGTCATCCATCTAGAGCCCACGTGCTTCTTGATATCATCTGCCCATCTTATTTGGGGCCTTCCTCTGCTTCGTTTATATTCCCACAGTCTCCAACTTATAAGAATTTTGTTCCATCGGTCTTCTTTTTGTCTTATATTGTGTCCGGCAAATCTCCATTTCAATTTTGTAACTTCTTGTCTAACATCCCTCACTTTTGTTTTCTCTCTTATCCACTCGTTTCTCTTCTTATCCATTAGTCTTATGTGCAACATTTGTCTTTCCATTGCTCTTTGGGTTTTTATGATTTTGTCCATGTTTGCTTTTGTAGATGTCCACGTTTGGGAACCATAAGTAAGAACAGGGAGTACGCATTGATTATATACTTTGGTCTTAAGATGCTGTGGATATCTTTTGTTTTTAAGAATGTAGCTTAGTTTGCCAAATGCCGCTCATGCCAGTCTAACTCGTCTCTTGATCTCTGCTGTTTGGTTCTCTTTGTTAAGTTTTATAGTTTGACCAAGATATATATATATATATATATATATATATATATAATATATATATATATATATATATATATATATATATATATATATATATAATCCTTAACTTGTTCTATTTCATCTTGTCCGATTGTCATTGTGATGTCTTCATCTGTATTTGTTATAGTTTTGGTCTTGCTGTAATTCATATTAAAGCCTATCTTTCCAGCTTCTACGTCCAGTTCTTTCATAATTTCAAATAATTCTTCTTTTTTATCGGTTATCAATACGATGTCATCAGCGTACCTTAGATGGTTCAAGCCATAGATTTTTATATATTAGTGACCAGCAATTCGTTTGATGCCATCATGTTTCGTTTGATGTCCTAGATAAAGATATTGTAAATCAACGTGATATTCATACATCATTGCGACAGTAAAGAGATTGATATAAAAAATAGTTAAAAATAAATTTATGGAGAACCGTTTATATGTTCAACAACTATAAAAATATTTTGAAGAAGAAAAATAAATATCATGGACGAGCAAGACCTACCAAGAAGTGGGAAAAATCAGGATATTTAAAATTTATTAAAAGGATATTTTGTACCAATATATTGATATTATAGATAGTAGCACATCGAATTAGAATCTAGATTCTAACTCGATGTAGTAGCAGCAGACTAATTTGTTTTAACAATGTCAAATATATTTACATCGAGTTAGAATCTAACTCGATGCATATTTAATACATATTTAATAAATAAATACTCAGATATAGACTTTTAATACAGTAACAAATGCAATTTTCTTTATAAGGCAGTTGATGGAAAAATGCAACAATAAAGAAACAAAGTCCAAACTTAGTCCAAAGAATATAAAATCTATTCGTCCATAATAAATGTACTGTATTTTAAAACCCTGCGTTAGAATACATTATCTAAATTTCGCCGCCCATGGTAAGGGTGATGTTACGAACTTCATGCGAGATGTGTGTCTCTGTCTCGCGTTAAATGCGCTAAACAAAGCTTTGTTTTTGCATCTCCCCTCCACCAACAAGTTTTCTTGCTTTTGTTATTGTGGATGGTTTTTATCCAGGATAGAAACAAGAAAGTGAAAATTTAAACGAAAATAAACAATAGTGGTAGAGATGAATTGGCCGGTTTTATTGTTACAGTTAATTTTACATTGATTTTTATCAAAATATTGGTTGATACCTGAAATTACTTGGAAAATAAAGTTGTTAGGTTATAGCCCATACACAGGGTGATTTTCCAGGAATAAATTCCCGATTGAAGATGAAACGTAAAAGAAAAAATGCTTGTCCCTCTCCCTTATTGGACGATAGCCCTAAAAGGTAATATTTTTAACAGAAATTTCAGTACAAATCTAAAACTCAGAATATAAACCATGATCATGTAGTTCCTAGATTACTACTACCTTAAAGCTATTGTTGAATATATGGAACCAAAATTTTTATTCTGAATAATATAAAAGTTGTGTGTAGTAGCCAAGATACAAAGTTTTTTATTTTAAAAGTTCTGTTTGAAAAACTCATAAAATTTTTGTCTCAACATAGGAAGCAGGTGCTGTGTCAGTTTTATAATTCTCTGTATCTGCTTTGAATAATAAAAGTACATAATTTTCAATATGCTCCTATAAATACTCATCTGCATTACAGTGATGTGCAAAGATGCACTTTTACCTTTGTCAGGTCAGATTTGATCTGCATTACAGTGATGTGCAAAGATGCACTTTTACCTTTGTCAGATTTGAAAAGCTTTGAAACTAATTTTGAAAAAAGTGCACTTTTTAATTTGTATATTTATTGACCTTTTCAGACTTCTACATTCCTTTAAATGTAGTTTTAAAGTACTTACCTAAAAGTCTGTGACGAAATACTTTTTGAGAACTTTTATTGTAGCAGAACTGCTTTGCCAGATATTTATAAATGTTTTCTATTTCATCCTTCATTTTAGTAGGGCTTTTTCTTAATTTATATCTATTATATCATCTTTTTTTCCACTTGTTTGAAGCAAAAATTTCTTTTAAGATCTTTTATGTGTAATTTACAAAACTGGTCAATAATATTTGATGTTTCTGAGGTACAGTAGAGTTTCCTAAGTAATTAACTACATATTAACATATGAGTAATACATTCAAATAAGTTTTTTTTTTATTTTTTACTGGTTTATCAGCCCCCGTTATTTAGCTATTGCATTTTTTCCTTTTTTATGAGTCTAGGATTATCTCAGTAGTTGAACAACTGTGTGTTAGTACTTTACTATGCCCCATGCACAGCTCATTATTTCTGTACCTCTTCTACTCTATTATTAACCCTTCGTCAGATACAACAGTTCTCCTTCTGGTCTGACCTAGAGATAATTTTCTTCAATAGCATATCTATCATTACATGCATTATGCA